AACAAACTGGCTTTTTCCCGAGTACAGAAAACAGAAATTGTTTATTCACAATTAGAAAAAGTGAAAGTAAATGTAAACAAACTCCTTGTGTAAACAGGAGTATTAACTTTTAATTTCTTCTAATTGTGAATAAAAAAATCATACACAATGTATGTTGTACATTCACTCAAACTTCGTTTCTCTGAAAACAATTTCTGTTTTCTGTACTCGGGAAAAAAACCAGTTTATTACAGAAGAAATCTTATTCAAGCAAAGTGTCCTTTTGTGCTTTTCTTCGATTTCAACCATTTATATTGTGAGAAAATCCATCTTATATAAACACACCATCTGCAAGAGTAATCCAGCAATCTTTTGTTGCATAAACACTTTCTAGTAAAAATAGTTCCCACTGACTAATTTGTACACTTCCGTAGCCAAGTGACGACTAAGCTTTGACCTGTAGTTGATTGGAGATCATCGGAAATAGACTGTTGCAGGTTGCAGAGCGACGTTGATCGCTCTCCTATAGTGTTCCGTTGCAGCGTTAATTACAACAAGAAAAGAGTAGAATAAATTGCGAGGCATCAACTATGACAAATTCGATTTTATGATATTCATCTAGAGAATGAAGGGAATCACTTTTTCAAGTTGGAAGAAATCGAAAATGTAAGGATAATGTAGTTGTGCTTATAAGCTGTAGTTTTTATTATACTCGTTTCGAGAAGCTCGATAGAGGCACCTAAGTCAACTTTCGCGCGTCAGTCTCAACGTCACACAATGTCGCGATAGGCATCGCCAGAAAATCCCTAGCTCGCGACGCGGCCACTCGTAATTTTTGAACACGGCGCGATCCTGAACGGATCTTATTTCATGAAAATATTTTTTGCAAGACTTACTTCGATTCACAACTCTCGCCGCGATCGCTATAAAATCGCTATGTCGCGTCGTGTCGCTTTTCATATTACATTGTTATATTGCATTATGTTTTGTTCCATTTATTACATTTGAAAAAAATATAGTTTTCACAAACGAGTTTTAAGGAAAAAATTCAGTAGAATTTCTGGATTAATTACTGTTCATGGGAAGTTTGAATTTTAGCTGAAATTGTAATCAAAAGTGCCTTTTGGCAACATGGCTTTCAAATTTTGACCAGCTTTCAATTTCAACCATTCGATTGCCTGACCACCATGTAAACCATCTGTTGTTAAACTGTGATACGAAAATGTGACTATAATTTCATTTTTCGAATTTTGAACATATACATAGATATAGATGGATGTATCGCGTGAGTTGTCCGTAAAATAATCAGCTCCGCCGCCACGACCAAAGGTACATTTGCTTTTTAAACGTTGAATGAAATCTGTGCCTCCTTCTTTAGCTAAAATATTCCAATCAAGACCAGCTTGATCAAGATATTCACGAGCTTCAGCGACGCTGTCTAATGTCTGCGTATCGTGATTGCTTTGAAGTTTCCAAACTTTATTACTGTTTCGATAAGGTTCCATCTCATCATATTGACGTTTATTAACTGCAATTACCGCCATTTTCCCGGGATGAATAGATTGTTGATTCGCTGATCTAAAAACAGGAAAACCAAAGAATTTATTTCTGAAAAGCAACGTTGAAACCCAATGTTTTCGAGGCAGTTAAAGGCTGAAAAATGGTCACACTTTTATTATGACATTTCTGATTACAAAAAAAGATCTGGATTAATAATTAAATTCGCTCCGATATTTTGATAAGTTTCCGAAGACGATATTCTGCTTCATTTTTTGCTGCCTCGTTGACAGGCAGTTGCTTGTGGATCATATCCAGACATACTGACAGCCGCAGCACCACCTCGAACACGACTCTGTTCATTCGGTGAACCTTCTGTAAAGCTTTTTAAAATATGGGTGTGTGCATTCAAATTCTTAATAGCAGTTTGTTTCAACCAAGAAACTGACTTTCGTTCTGATAATAGGATGCCACCGGCTGCCTTTCTTTCTTCCATTGTAATTGATTGATATGAATAGCAGACATCGACTGAGTCTGCAGTTTTACGAATAATTACAAGAATATAAAAATCTTCACCACGTTCATTTGTATATAAATAATCATAGGCAACTTCTGGCTTTTCTCGTTGATCAATTGCTCTCATCAATGTTGCAACAAAGTCTATACCATTTTGATATCGTTGTAGCTGCCATATATTAGCAACTTCCTGAGTGTAACTTTTAGCTTCTTCAGTATTATACAAGGATTGAACATCATTTGTTACCGTGTATTTCCATATCAACGGCGAAGAGCTACCGACAGCTGCAGCTGTTTGATGAGAGCGTGAGATAAGTCTATCTCTGTCATCATTCGTTGAGGAATGAGGAGCACACTGAGGCATCTGCTGATGACCTAGATGATGATGTGATAACTGCTGTTGACCTGTATATTGCGACGACCGGGTCGCACCCATTCTATCAGCTTCTCTATGCTGTTTCTGTTGTACTGATGGATAGTCAGATAATCGGGCATGATGACCATCATCTCCGTCGTTTCTCAGTGCTGCATTTGAATCATTGTTGTATGATCTATTGCCACTCATGGTACACTGAAGAAAGATAGAATTAATAGAAAAAAACTTGTACTTACTTTTCTAAATAAATAAAAGACCGCTTTCTTACAGTTAGTTGAGATCTGTGAAGTTTTTTCCGTGTGAATTGTTGAATGAGAAACGCAGTAGCTTTAGATTGTATTTTATAGTGCAGAATTGTTTTTACGGAAGTGTACAAATTAGTCAGTGGGAACTATTTTTACTAGAAAGTGTTTATACAACAAAAGATTTCTGGATTACTCTTGCAGATGGTGTGTTTATATAACATGGATTTTCTCACAATTTAAATGGTTGAAATCGAAGAAAAGCACAAAAGAACACTTTGCTCGAATGAGATTTCTTCTGTAACAAACTGGCTTTTTCCCGAGTACAGAAAACAGAAATTGTTTATTCACAATTAGAAAAAGTGAAAGTAAATGTAAACAAACTCCTTGTGTAAACAGGAGTATTAACTTTTAATTTCTTCTAATTGTAAATAAATAAATCAGACGCGGCCACTCGTAGTTTGGTGCAATTTGCACCCAGAAACAGCAGCGGGTAAAAAGTTTTATGATTTTTCTGAGACCTTCAATTTCAAACAATTAGTCAAAGAGCCTACGAGAGTTAGCAAGGATGGCAAAACAAAAACAGTACTTGACTTGCTATTCAGTAGTTCTGCTACCTTCATAAAAAACATAGAAGTTGAGGATGTTCCGTGCGAAAATTGTGAGCATAAGATTGTAAGAGTTGTGCTTGCAACCGACATGACTCGATCGCCCTCATTGACACGTAAAACTTATAACTACTTTGCTACCGACTGGAACTATTTTCGTCATGAATTAGTAAAACTGCTTAATACTGTTGTAGTTCTCTTCTACAATTGAACTTGTGCGAATGAGAAGGTGATAGTATTAGAAAACTGTGTAATGGATGCAGTAGATAAATGTGTTCCTTCAAAAATAGTTCGTATATTTTCATCAGATCAGCCATGGTTTACTCAAAAGTTAAGACAACTTTCTCGACAGAAAAAAGGCTTATATAGAAGGCAAAAACAAACTAATTCCTTAGCATCTTCCAAAGTGAAGTATTTAAAAGTAGCTGTCGAATTCGAAAAAGCATGTGAAGTTGAGAAAGAAAATTATCTACAAAAAATACGTCAAACTAATGCATGAAAAAAGTCATGGTGGAATTTAGTCAAAACATTATTTCGACGGTCTCGCTCTTCGAAAATTTCTAAATTAAGAGATCAAAATAATCAGGAATGGTCCGACGACAAAATGAAAGCATATGTTCTTAATCAACATTTTGCCTCCGTATGTACTATGACTACGGCCGATTATGACAAAGATATTCCATTTGATAAGCTCAATCTCTCAACTACTACATTAGATCTTTTTACGGTAACCACTAATGAAGTTGAAAAATGCTTAAAAGCGATTGACGTTAGTAAAGCCACCAGCCAAGGCATAAGTTCAAAAATTTTAAAAGAAGCGGGGCCAGTTATTGTTGAAGACTTGAAACACATTTGTAATTATTCTCTTTCGTCAGGAGTTTTTCCGGAAAGATGGAAAATTGGATTGATACATCCACTATTTAAAGATGGAGATACAACTTTACCGACAAATTATAGACCTATTACACTTCTTCTTCTTATTATTTCTTCTGGAAAGATTGGTTTATAATAAGCTATATGAACATCTCAAAAAGCATGACCGACTCGAGTAACCACTTGGGTGATTTTAAACTCAGAAATTTTTTCTTAAGATTGTAAAAAGATGACTCTCACACTACAGAACAGAATGAGATTCTACGACAAATCAGTTGATCGATTTGGTGCATGAAATAGGAGAAAATTTAGATTCTAACAAATTTACAACAGCTGTATTTCTTGATTTTGCAAAGGCGTTCGATAAAGTTTGGCATAATGGACATTTATACAAGTTAAAACAAAAAGGCGTGCGTCCCGAACTTTTAAAATGGTTTCAGAGTTATCTAACTGCTCAAAAATGCACTACGCTTGTAAATGGACAATCTTCTTTACCTCTTGTTATAAACCGTGGTGTCTCTCAAGGCTCAATTTTAGGACCACTTTTGTTTTTAATATTCATCGACGATATTTGTGATAATAAACAGTCGAAACTTCGTTTATTTGCGGACGATACATCAATGTATCATAGCTCGGACAATATTTT